GAAGCCCTCCTTCCGGGGAACGACGAGGCTGGGAGTGAGTCGCTGGTCCCATGGCAGGAATATTTTTAAAGAAATAAAATGATCAACAAAAGTAAAAATTTGTCAAAATTTCTAAAAATGCACTATTAATATAAACTCTCTATATTATTAACTGACACCCTTGGCCCACTCAAGCCAAGATACATGATACATAGTCCAATGTGTACCATATAAAAGTTAGGCAATCCTAAGTCTGTGTGGGCAAAGCTTTGCAGCTCAAATTACAAAGTGTTAAATGTTCAGTTTATTTTAAATTAATAAATAATGTGAGCAATAACTATCCTACTCCTCTCCTGGTTGCCACCTGAATCTCTGATTCTTGTTCACCCTTTGAGCCTTCTGAAATTACAATTCCATTCTGTCTTAGTTATTTTTTTCTCATTGCTGAAACAAAATACCTCATGCCCAAACTTAAGGAAGGAGAGGTTTATTTAGTTCACAGTTTGTGGAGGTTTCAGTCCATACTTGGCTGGCTCCAAGGCAGAGTAGCACATGGCAGAGTGCAATAGTTCATGGCTGTGAAAGATAGCAAAAGCAATAAGGGCAACAGGGAGGAACAGAGGCAAGCAACCTCTTTCCCTGCCTTACATTGTGTGCAAACTATCTTCCCTGGGGCAGGTGTAGCACTCATGTCCATAATTCCAACACTGGACCATGAATCAATAATAAATTCTAGAAGCCAGTTCCACGACTCCATGAGGCTTTGTGGGGAAATCCACAACCAGACCACAACACATTCCTATGCTAACTCAGCCTTGAGGCTCAAATTAATAACTTTATGATTTTGAAAATATGAAAATAGAATCTTATCTTCTTAGCATCATGAGCCAGGAGTAAGTGTAAAATAGCACATATCTCATGACTATAGCTACTGGCTATTCTCATTTCTGTTTTACTTGTTGAGAGATCAAACTTTCCAGCAATTTATCATGTTAGATGCACACTTGAGCCCAATTACTGAGATATAGTAATAATAAACACTAAAAACGTAAAAAGATTTACCTTGCAATACTAAGCACTGACAATAAAGCTGAGTCAAATATAGAAACTGACACAAGTTATGACTGGAATTAGTGTTCAAGCCTGAACAGCTTGCAGAACTAAGACTCTCTCAGACTTGGGCATGCCATAATGGACAATCTTGGATGTGTGTCACCTGGTGCTTTATAGTCAAACCTTCCAGCTCCATCGGGCCCATTAACATGCCACAAGCAATGATTGAGATGTCTTATAAAATGCTTCGATACCGTTTTAGTATTCTTTATAATTTTGGATTTTTAGTGTTTTGTCTTACTTTTTTCCTTTTGATAGCATACACTAGTTTTGAAAAATATGCAATAAAGGGCTGGAGATTTAGCTCAGCGGCACAATACCTGCCTGGCAA